TGTTGCCCAGGGTGGAGTGCAATGGCGCGATCTCGGCTCACCGCAACCTCCGCCTCCTGGGTTCAGGCAATTCTCCTGCCTCAGCCTCCTGAGTAGCTGGGATTACAGGCATGCACCACCATGCCCAGTTAATTTTTCGTATTTTTAGTAGAGATGGGGTTTCACCATGTTGAGCAGGATGGTCTCGATCTCTTGACCTCGTGATCCACCCGCCTCGGCCTCCCAAAGTGCTGGGATTACAGGCTTGAGCCACCGCGCCCAGCCAACAGGCTTTACTTTTAAAGCCTGTGTGGGATGGGATACTGGGGCTGGGCAGGGTAAGGGTGGTTAGGTTTTAAGCGGATGATGAGGGGTGAGTGACTTGTAGCAACGGATGGGAAGGCGGTGTTTTACACCCTAGGGTTAAGGTTGGGGGACATAAGGGGAGCTATTGAGGGAGGTATGGGTTTGGGGAGGAGGGTGGCAATGAGGTGTGGCTGTAGCCCTGGAATAGTTAAGGCGGCAAACAATTTTCCTAGGATATCTCGGCCTCACAGGGGAACTGGACAAGTGGGGATGATTAGGAAAGAATGTGGAAAGGAGTGCTGGCCTAACTGACACCAGACCTGGGGAGTTTTGAGAGGCCTGGAGGCCTTGCTGTCAATTCCCACAACAGTTATGGAGGCCAAGGAGACAGGTCCTTGAAAAGAAGGCAGCGTGGAGTGGGCGGGTCTGTGCCGATTAAGAAGGGGATGGACTTACCCTTCACCGTAAGACTTTCCTGAAGTTTGGCGTCTGTGATGGTCCAGGGGGCTTCCGAGACACTAGAGCAGCGTTAGTCTTTAGCTGCAACGCCGAGGATTAGAGCTTCAGGAGCTCTGGGAGCAGCAATGTAAGTCGGACTGTTGACTTTCTGTGGGGGCCCCACACAGACGGGGCAGGGCTTAGGAGAAATTCCGGGCTGTGGGCATTTCTTGGCCAAGGTTTCCAACACTTGAAGCAAGGTTCAGGAGGGGCGGCTGGACGTGCTGCGATTTGGGCACTTTGAAGTTTTTGTGAGCCGGTGGTGAGGCTGGGGTTTGTTTTACAGAAGAGGGAAGCATTTGTAGTTCTGAGATTTGCTGCTGCCAGGCAGATTTTTCCCTTTTTGAACACCTTGAGGGTGAGGTTGCTAAATTCCTGTTGTGAGGTTTATGGGCCAGATTTTAATGTTTGTACCTTTTTGTAATGTTGAGGTTGATTGGGTGATAAAGTGCATATTAAGCATTTTTTAGGGGTGAGAGTAGAAGTAAGGATGACATTTAAGTGACTCCAGGTGAGATTATAGGACTGGGTTAAGTAGTGGAGGATTTGATGAAAAGGAGCCTAACTAGTGGCCAATTTGGAAAGGTTAGATAAAGGAAAAGGAATGTGCACCGTAACTATGCCTTTGGCTCCAGCCACCTCTGGAAGGGGAATTGTTGGGGAGGGCAGAGGAGGTAGCAGCGGGACCAAACTGTAAACTGGGCCACGTATGAGGTGGGGAGGTGACAGGAGGGGCATAAGAAGGGGGGTTGTGGGCAGAGGAAGAGGAGGAGGGCTCTGGGGAGTGGGGTTGGGTTTTCGGTTAGGGCCTGGTTCAGACAGGTGGGTAGGAGAAAGGTTGGAAGGATTGATGGACAAGGAGGATTCTGGTTTACCAGCAGAGGAAGGAGGGGCAGATGGAAGGAAAGAGAAGAAGATATTAGGGAGGGATTGCTGTGTAAAAACATGCCTGGACGTAGGGAATTTCAGACCATTTGCCCGTGTTGCGACAAAAATTGTTTAAATTTTACAAAATACGTTGAAAGTGCCATTTTTTGGCCAATTGGAGCCATTGTTTAACTTGTATAGTTGCCATGCAGTGTTACAGAAGAAGATGAGACCTTTGGGTTTTAGGTTAGGAAACAGTTGAAGTGGCTTGAGGTTCTTTAGAACACAGGCCAGTAGAGGGAGGGATAGAGGACAGACGATTGCCCATGGTTCTGGAAAGGCAGCAGAGACAAGGAAAATGTGCATGTAACTCAGCCACTCAACAGGTGTCCCTAGTTGAGGCTGAGTTGAACCTCGTCATTGGTGAGCGGTCAAAGAGAGTGTTCTCTACGTTGACCTGCCACCAATAATCGGCCATGAGACTGGTGGGAGAGTGACTAGGGTGAACGTCTCCATGATAGTCAAAACCCTGGGAAAATGGTCCCCAGATCCGTGACCTACGTAGGATTTTCCGGTCATGAACCTCATGGAAGAACCAGGTTTACCTGATTTTCCTTGTCTTTGCAGTGGTAAAAGGGCAAAACCGAAAGGGGGAGGAAGTGAAAAGGAAAAGACAAAAGGATGGGAAAGCAAAAAAGAGAGACTGCTTACCAAAATAGCCGGTGGTGTGTGTCTGTGGGCTGGTCTGATGACCCCAGGTCGGTGGGTAGATCTCTTCATGGAGCAAGCACAAGAACAGGGTTGGAGGTTTGGTCTCCCGTAGGAGTTCCCCTGTCCTGGGTTTCCGGCACCAAATGTTGAAAAAATATATGCTTTGAATGAAGAGACCTTCCAAGCAGGCTTTGTGTGAGCAACATGGCTGTTTATTCACCTGGGTGCAGGTAGGCTAAAGTGGAAAAGGGCATTAGCAAAGGGCTGTGGGATAGGAGTTGGTTTTATAGGCTTTGAAGTATTGGATCGAGTACGAAATTAACACCAAGACAAAAGTATGCCAAATTGCAAGGACTTTATTGCCGGCGACCACAGAGGACTCACGTCTCTCCAACCTGTGGCGTCCAACTCAGGGAGAGCAGGGTTTTTAAGCTGAAAAACCACATCCTGGTTTTAGGACCCAGAGGGTGAGGAGCAGGGATGGGGATGAAGGGCTTCAGACATTCCAAGAGCTAGTGGGTTCTGTAAATCACCTCCTGGGCGGAGACGAGGGTGAGGGGGGGCTCCGGACATTCCAAGGGCCAGGGGACTTTTGTCACTCCGATTGTTACTTAAGTAGTTTACAGAAGTCAAGATAAACATTAGTTTACACATTATCTGGGTAGTGGTGGAAGTCACAGATCTTAGTTACTTATTACAAGTCGCAGGGGCCAAGATGGCATTAGCTTGGGCTGCTTATTCTGGTACTGATAAGAAAAGGTAAGCAGCTTTACATAGTGGGCATTTTTCAGAGCAAGCTAGCAGCTTTATTTACAGAAGCCAAACACAGCTTTATTTTATAAAATGGCGTTACTCAGGTTCTGGCTCTAGGCCAGCTATAGCACAATATCACAGTTTGGGTAGTTTTTTGGAGGGTGGCGGGGTTGCAGAGTAATTTCAGTTACACTGGTGGGGTTGGGTGAGAGGTATTTGCATTATCATAAGAACAGTTAAGATGGCAGGGTTGGGTGAGGGACCTGTCTGGGGAAGCTCTGCTGGGCAATTAGGGACAATGGGGAATGCAGGCAGTGGGTGGGAGACATGAACCAAGGCAAGCAGGACTTGTAGACTTTCAGGCTCCAGGCTTGCATATGGAGACCTGACAATAGGCACTTACTTATCTTTCGGCTGTCTTTTAAACAGGTAATTCAGGTTCTCCACAGGTTCAGAGGTGTACTGGCTGATGGGAACTTTGAGTTCCTGCTCTGGAGCTTCTTGCATTGGTGACTTGATTCTTGAACGATGTATCCAGCTATCAAATCCTAGTATTTTGACTGCAGAAGGCATGGCCAGTATTTCTGAAAATGGTCCCTTCTCTTTGGGTTGTAATTGTTGGGCAGGTGATTCTTCCTTCCATGTTTTAACAAGCACCTTATCTCCTGGCCTGATTGAATTGCTGGTTAGTTCTAGGTGTGAGGAACCTTTGAATTCCAAACTCTTGTAAATCCTGCTGGAATTGTCCTGGGTTGACTAGGTGTTTAATTAAACCAACTGTTTTTGGGTCAGTAATTAAATCATTAGTTAAGAATAGCCTTCTGTTTTGTATGGGCTGATATTAATTTTTGCACTAGTGGTATTACAAATTCTTAAAAGGGCTGTGGGCAATAAGCTAACCCCAGTTTCTGATGTTTCCTGATACAGTTTAGCTAGTGCTTGTTTTAGTGTTTATTTAGCCCTCTCTACTTTTCCAGAGGATTGATGCCTCCAGGCTGAATGTAAATCGTATTTTATTCCAAGAGCCTTAGTAATCCCTTGAGTTATTTGGGAGATAAAGGATGGGGCATTCTCACTTTGGAGACTGAAGTAACCCAAACTGGAGAATTACTTCTTTTTTTTTTTTTTTTTCTGGATGAAAATGTTCACACCAGCTTTATATAGCATTCCAAAACTGAACACAACCTAAATGTTTATCAACAGTAAAATGGGTACGTTGTGGTAGATGCAAACAATCCAATATTACACAGAATTAAAAGTCACAACATGGTGAATTCCATAGAAATATGGAGTGAAAGGAGCTAGATCCAAATGAGTACATATAATATGAATCAATTTTGATGACATTCAAACAGATAATCCATGTGTTGTACTGGACCGAGCGTAGAAAGTTAGCACCAAGACAAAAGTATGCCAGATTGCAGGGTCATTTATTATGCCGGCAACCACAGAGGACTCACATCTCTCCAACCTGTGGCATCGAAAGGAGGGTGCCAAGACTTTTTATACCCGAAAAACCACCTTGGGAGTGGGGGTGGGGAGTGGGGATAGGGATGAAAAGGCTCCAGACATTCCGATGGCTAGTGGATTCTGTAAATTACCTCCTGGGCAGAGATGAGGGTGGGGGTCTCCGGACATTCCAAGGGCCAGGGGACTTTTGTCATTCCACTTGTTACTTAAGTGGTTTACAGAAGTCAAGATAAACGTTTGTTTACACATTGTCTGGGTAGTGATAGAAGTCACAGGTCTTAGTTACTTATTACAAGTCACAGGAGCCAGGATGGAATTAGCTTGGGCTGCTTGTTTTGGTTATTACTGGTAAGCAAAGGCTAGTAATTCTGGCAGTTACTGATAAGAAAATGTAAGCAGTTTTACATAGTTTGCAGAACAAACTAGCAGTTCTATTTACAGAAGCCAAAGCCAGCAGTTATTGTGAGGAGAATGGGGCAGCCTTTGCAACTTATTTTAAAAACAGTTTTGCATTTTATAAAATGGCGTTGCTCAGGTTCTAGCTCTAGGCTAGCACACATGGAGATGCAGGTCAAATAGAGGTTGCCCATGGTAGTGGGAGGAGCAGAAGGGTGCCTGCTAGGGGAAAGGTTTTTTGTTTTTTTTGTTTTTTTTCTTTTTATAAATTTTATTGCACTTTAGGTTTTGGAATACATGTGAAGAACATGCAAGATTTTTGCATAGGTAAATACATGCAATGTGGTTTGCTGCCTTCCTCCCCATCACCTATATCTGGCATTTCTCTCCATGCTATCTCTCCCCAACTCCCCATCCCCAGCTGCCCCTCTAGTTCCCCCCGACAGACCCCAGTGTGTAATGCTCCCCTCGCTGTATCCATGTGTTCTCATTGTTCAACACCCGCCTATGAGTGAGAACATGCAGTGTTTGATTTTCTGTTCTTGTGTCAATTTGCTGAGAATGATGGTTTCCGGATTCATCCATGTCCCTACAAAGGACATGAACTCATTGTTTTTTATGGCTGCATAGTATTTCATGGTGTATATGTGCCACATTTTCCCTGTCCAGTCTATCATCGATGGGCATTTGGATTGGTTCCAAGTCTTTGCTGTTGCAAACAGTGTCGTGGTGCACATTTGTGTGTTTATGTCCTTATAATAGAATGATTTATAATCCTTTGGATATATACCCAGTAATGGGATTGCTGGGTCAAATGGAATTTCTATTTCTAGGTCCTTGAGGAATCGCCACACTGTCTTCCACAATGGTTGAAATAATTTACACTCCCACCAACAGTGTAAAAGTGTTCCTATTTCTCCACATCCTCTCCAGCATCTGTTGTTTGCAGATTTTTTAATGATCACCATTCTAACTGGCATGAGATGGTATCTCAATGTAGTTTTGATATGCATTTCTCTAATGACCAATGATGATGAGCATTTTTTCATGTTTGTTGGCCTCATGTATGTCTTCTTTTGTAAAGTGTCTGTTCATATCCTTTGCCCACTTTAGAATGGGTTTGTTTGTTTTTTTCTTGTAAATCTGTTTTAGTTCTTGGTAGATTCTGGATATCAGCACTTTGTCAGATGGGTAGATTGCAAAAATTTTTTTCCATTCTCTTGGTTGCTGATTCAACTCTAATGACTGTTTCTTTTGCTGTGCAGAAGCTGTGGAGTTTGATTAGGTCCCATTTGTCTATTTTGGCTTTTGTTGCCAATGCTTTTGTTGTTTTAGTCATGAAGTCCTTGCCTATGCCTTTGTCCTGAATGGTTTTGCCTAGGTTTTCTTCTAGGGTTTTTATGGTGTTAGGTCTTATGTTTAAGTCTTTAATCTATTTGGTGTTAATTTTAGTGTAAGGTGTCAGGAGGGGGTCCAGTTTCTGCTTTCTGCATATGACTAGCCAGCTTTCCCAACACCATTTATTAAACAGGGAATCCTTTCCCCATTGCTTGTTTTTGTCCAGTTTGTCAAATATAAGATGGCTGTAGATGGGTGGCATTGCCTGCAAGGCCTCTGTTCTGTTCCATTGGTCTATATCGCTGTTTTGGTACCAGTACCATGCTGTTTTGATTACTGTAGCCTTGTAGTCTAGTTTGAAGTCAGGTAGTGTGATGCCTCCAGCTTTGTTCTTTTTGCTTAGAATTGATGTGGCTATGCAGGCTCTCTTTTGGTTCCATATGAAGTTTAAGGTGGTTTTTTCCAGTTCTGTGAAGGTCGTTGGTAGCTTGATGGGGATCGCATTGAATCCATAAATTAGTTTGGGCAGTATGGCCATTTTCACGATATTGATTCTTCATAACCATGAGCATGGAATGTTTCTCCATCTGTTTGTGTCCTCTCTTATTTTGTTGAGCAATGGTTTGTAGTTCTCCTTGAAGAGGTCCTTTACATTCTTTGTTAGTTGTATTCCTTGGTATTTTATTCTCTTTGTAGCAATTGTGAATGGCAGTTCATTCTTGATTTGGCTCTTTTTAAGTCTATTATTGGTGTATAGCAATGTATGTGATTTTTGCACATTGATTTTGTATCCTGAGACTTTGCTGAAGTTGTTCATCAGTTTCAGGAGATTTTGGGCTGGGACAATGGGGTCTTCTAAATATACAATCATGTTGTCTGCAAATAGAGACAATTTGAGTTCCTACTTTCCTATTTGAATACCCTTTATTTCTTTTTCTTGCCTGATTGCTCTGGCTAGAATTTCCAATACTATATTGAATAGGAGTGGTGAGAGAGGGCATCCTTGTCTAGTGCCAGATTTCAAAGGGAATGCTTCCAGTTTTTGCCCATTCGGTATGATATTGGCTTTGGGTTTGTCATAAAGCTTTTATTATTTTGAGATATGTTCCATCAATACCTAGTTTATTCTGAGTTTTTAGCACAAAGCGCTGTTGAATTTTGTTGAAGGCCTTCTCTGCATCTATTTAGATAATCATGTGGTTTCTCTCTTTGGTTCTGTTTATGTGGTGAATTATGTTTATAGACTTGTGTATGTTGAACCAGCCTTGCATCCCTGGGATGAAGCCTACATGATAGTGATGGATAAGCTTTTTGATGTGCTGTTGCAATCGGTTTGCCCATATTTTATTGAATATTTTTGCATCTATGTTCATCATGGATATTGTCCTGAAGTTTTCTTTTCTTGTTGAGTCTCTGCTGGGTTTTGGTATCAGGATGATGTTGGTCTCATAAAATGATCCGGAAAGGATTCCCTCTTTTTGGATTGTTTGGATTCTTTTAGAAGGAATGGTACCAGCTCCTCTTTGTATGCCTGGTAGAATTTGACTGTGAACCCATCTGGACCTGGGCTTTTTTTTGTGGGTAGGCTATTAATTGTTGCCTCAACTTCTGCCCTTGTTATTGTCTCTTCAGGGTTTCAACTTCTTCCTGGTTTAGGCTTGGGAGGATGCAAGTATCCAGGAATTTATCCCTTTCTTCCAGGTTTACTGGTTTATGTGCATAGAGTTGTGTGCAGTAATCTCTGATGGTGGTTTGTATTTCTGTGGAATCTGTGGTGATATCCCCTTTATTGTTTTTTTTATTGCATCTATTTGATTCTTCTCTCTTTTCTTTTTTATTATTCTCGCTAATGGTCTATTTTGTTGATCTTTTCAAAAAACCAGCTCCTGCATTTATTGATTTTTTTGAAGAGTTTTTGTGTCTCTATGTCTTTCAGTTCTGCTCTGATCTTAGTTATTTCTTGTCTTCTGCTAGGTGTTGAGTTTTTTTGATCTTGCTCCTCTAGCTCCTTCAATTTTGGTGATAGAGTGTCGATTTTAGATCTTTCCTTGCTTCTCATGTGGGCACTTATTGCTATATATTTTCCTCTAGACACGCTTTAGATGTGTCCAAGAGATTCTGGTATGTTGTATCTTTGTTCTCATTGGTTTCAAAGAACATCTTTATTTCTGCCTTCATTTCATTGTTTATCCAGTCAACATTCAAGAGCAAGTTGTTCAGTTTCCATGAAGCTGTGCGGTTCTGAGTTAGTTTCTGAATTCTGAGTTCTAACTAGATTGAACTGTGGTCTGAGAGACTGTTTGTTATGATTTCTGTTCTTTTGCATTTGCTGAGGAGTGAGTTATTTCCAATTATGTGGTCAGTTTTAGAGTAGGTGTGATGTGGTGCTGAGAAGAATGTACATTCTGTGGATTTGGGGTGGAGAGTTCTGTAAATGTCTATTAGGTTTTCTTGGTCCAGGTCTGAGTTCCAGTCCTGGATATCCTTGTTAATTTTCTGTCTCGTTGATCTGTCTAATACTGACAGTGGAGAGTTAAAGTCTCCCACTATAATTGTGTGGGAGTCTAAGTCTCTTTGTAGGTCATTAAGAACTTGCTTTATGTAGCTGGGTGTTCCTGTATTCGGTGTGTATATATTTAGGATTGTTAGCTCATCTTGTTGCATTGATCCTTTTACTACTATGTAATGTCCTTCTTTGTCTCTTTTGATCTTTGTTGGTTTAAAGTCCATTTTATCAGAGACTAGAATTGCAACACCTGCTTTTTTTTTTTTGACTTTTTATTCCATTTGCCAGTCTGTGTCTTTTGATTGGGGTGTTTAGCCCATTTACATTTAGGGTTAATATTGTTACGTGTGAATTTGATCCTGCGATTTTGATGCTAGCCAGTTGTTTTGCCTGTTAGTTGATGCAGTTTCTTCATTGTGTTGATGCTCTTTACAATTTGGTACGTTTTTGGAGTGCCTGGTACTGGTTGTTCCTTTCTGTGTTTAGTGCTTCTTTCAGGAGCTCTTATAAAGCAGGCCTGGTGGTGATGAAATATCTGAGCAATTGCTTGTTTATAAAGGATTTTATTTCTCTTTTGCTTATGAAGCTTAGTTTGGCTGGATATGAAATCCTAGGTTGAAAGTTCTTTTCTCTAAGGATGTTGAATATTGGCCCCCACTCTCTTCTGGCTTGTAGGGTTTCTGCTGAGAGATCTGCTGTGAGTCTGATGGGCTTCCCTTTGTGGGTAACCTGGCCTTTCTCTCTGGCTGCCCTTAGCATTTTCTCCTTCAATTCAACCCTGGTGAATCTGACGATTATGTGCCTTGGGGTTGCTCTTCTTGAGGAATATCTTTGTGGTGTTCTCTGTATTGCCTGGACTTGAATATTGGCCTGCCTTGCTAGGTTAGGGAAGTTTTCCTGAATAATACCCTGAAGAGCATTTTCCAGCTTGGATTCATTCTCTCCATCACATTCAAGTATACCTATCAAACATAGATTAGGTCTTTTCACATAATCCCATATTTCTTGGAGGCTTTGTTCATTTCTTTTTACTCTTTTTTTTCTAATCTTGCCTTCTCGTTTTATTTCGTTCAGTTGATCTTCGACCTCTGATACCCTTTCTTCTGCTTGGTCAATTCGGCTATTGAAACTTATGTATGCTTCATGAAGTTCTCGTGTTGTGTTTTTCAGCTCCATCAATTCATTTATTTTCCTCTCTAAGCTGTTAATTCTTGTTAGCATTTCATCAAACCTTTTTTCAAGGTTCTTAGTTTCTTTGCATTGGGTTAGAACATGTTCTTTTAGCTCAGATAAGTTTCTTATTACTCACCTTCTGAGGCCTGATTTTGTCAATTCATCAGACTGATTTTCCATCCAGCCTTGTTCCCTTGCTGGTGAGGAGTTGTATGTCTTGGAGGAGGAGAGGTCTTCTGGTTTTGGGTGTTTTCATACTTTTTGCACTGATTTCTTCCTATCTTTGTGGATTTATTTAACTGTCATCTTTGTAGTTGGTGACTCTCAAATGGGGTCTCTGGGTAGACATACTGTTTGTTGATGATGAAATTATTTCTTTCTGTTTCTTAGTTTTCCTTCTAACAGTCAGGCTCCTCTGCTATAGGACTGCTGGAGGTCCACTCCAGACCATGCTTGCCTGGGGCTCACCTGCAGTGGCTGCAGAACAGTAAGGGCTGCTGCCAGTTTCTTCTTCTGCTATCTTTGTTCTAGAAGGATACCTGCCAGATGTCCATCTGAGCTCTGCTTTATTAGGTGACTCTTTGGATATACGGGAGTCGGGGAGCTGTTTGAGGAGTCAGTCTGTCCTTTATAGGAGTTAAAGTGCTGAGCTGTGATCTCCGTTATTCCATTCAGAGCTGCTGGGCAGGTACATGTAAGTCTGCTGCAGCAGAACTCATAACTGCTTTCTTTTTTCCCAGGTGCTCTGTCCCAGGAAGTTAGGGTTTTATTTATAAGTTTCTGTCATGCTGCTACCTTTTCTTAAGGCTGCCCTGCACAATGAGGGGGCAGCCTAGTCACAGTCTGCCAGCAGAGGTGTTGCTGAGCTGCTGTGGTCTCTGACCAGCTGCCATGTAAACTTCCCTGCAATCCTGTTTATAGGGGTATAGTTAGAACTGCCTTGGCAATGGTGGCCTGCCTCTGTGATGGCTGATTCTCTCCACAATGGCAGACTGCCTTGGCAATGGCCGGTCACCTCAGCAATGGCCGGTCGCCTCGGCAATGGCGGGCTACCTCACTAGTGGTGGACTGCCTTGGTAATGGCAAACACCCCTCCCCGAGAGAGCTGGACCATCCCGGGTTCAGCTGTGCTTGCTGTGAAACTCTCAGTCCAGAACATTTCAGATTGCTAGTCTTCGTGGGGGTGGGACCAGCCCTGCCTTATCACCTGGCTCCCTGCCTCAGACCCCTTTTTTTTTCAGTTGAACATGCGACTCTGTCTCCCAGGCATTCCAGTCCCCAGTTGAAATGGCGCCCAGATTTGTGTGAGTTCTTGTGTGGAGACCCACTGTGCTGGCTGAAACAGCTGCACTGGGGGCTCATGGTGCTTTTTCGCCCAGGGAATCTCCTGGCTTGGCTCCCTGTTTCAGTCCTCTTTTCTTCAGTCGAACAGGCGACCCTGTCTCCCAGGTGTTCCAGTTGCCAGTTGAAAAGGCGCTTGGGTTTGTGTGAGATTTTGTGTGGAGACCCGCTGCGCTAGCTGAAACAGCTGCGCTGGAGACTCGTGGCGGTTTTTCACCTGGGAATCTCCTGGCCTGGATCCCTATTTCAGTTCCCTTTTTATTAGTTGAATGGGCGACACTGTCTCCCAGTCACTCTGGTCACCAACTGAAATGGCGCCCGGATCCGTGTTTTTCGTGCGGAGGCCCTCCACGCCGGCCAAAACAGCTGTGCTGGAGACCCGTGGCACTCCTCCACCTGGGGATCTCCTGGTCTATGGGCAGTAAAAATCCGTCTGGAAATGCGGTGACCACTCACCCTCCGCCCTATCGCTGGGAGCTGCAATCCAGACCTGTTCCCACTTGGCCATCTTGGATTCCTCCAAATTACTTCTTTTAAGATGACTTTTGTAACCTCATTAGCCTTTTCTGTTTTGATGAGGTAAGCTTCAACCCAACCAGTGAAAGTATCCATTAGTGCTGACAAAAAGTTGTATCCTTTGCAAACTGGCACATGGATAAAGTCTAATTGCCAGTCTTCCCCTGGATAAGTTCCCCTCCTTTGGACTGGTTTTATTAGAGGGGGTATTTTGTTCCCCGGATTGTTAAACGCACTATTCAGTGAGCAGTCTTGGCAGACCTGCTTAGCCACTGAAGCTGAGTTAGACCAGTAAAGAATTTGTTTACCATGGCCAGAGTTGAATCCTTCCCCACATGGAAAGAGTAAGGCAGGGCTTTTATAACTTTCCACTAGGCTGCCTGAGGGAAATATATTTTTGACCCCATATGCCACCAGAATCCTTGTTTTTGTCCTCCTTGGGTTTTTATTAGCTATTCTTTCTGTAGTGTGTATTGGGGTTCTATTGGGGAATTGTGGAAAGGAAGCAGTGCTAGAATCTGTTTGGATTACACTCTGAAGACTGCGGCTTTGGCTTCCCTCTGAGGCTTTGTGTTCCCTTGAGCTGTAGGGGTTAAGTCCCTTTGATGCTTGCTATGGCCTTTGGCAGGTGCATTGCTTTCAATAGCTAAAGAATTTCAGGCCCATGCTTTATAGGGCAGTGTTTGCTAATAAATAATCCCCTTCCTTTCCAGATTGCAGCATAAGCATGAACCACAGGGAATGCATATGTAGAATCTGTATAGATGTTCAGATTTTTCCTTTGTCCCAACATTAATGCTTGAGTAAGAGCAGTGATATTAGCCTTTTGTGCTGATGTGCCAGGGGGCACTGGCTGGGCTTCAATAATTGTGTCATGATTTACTACTGCATATCCAGCTCTGCACTCCCCATTTGACATAAAACTACTGCTGTCTGTGAACCAGTCATCCTCAGAATCTGGGAGAGTCTGGTTTCCTAAATCAGGCTGGCTAACATTGTATGTACAATGACCTGCTCGCAGGAATAATCAATTATTGCACCTGTGGACAACAATGAAGCTGGCTTTAAAGTGTTGCAGGTCTTAAGAGTTATAACTGGAGAACTACAAACCACTGCTCAAGGAAATCAGAGAGGACACAAACAGATGGAAAAACATTCCAAGCTCATGGTTAGGAAGAATCAATATTGTGAAAATGGCCATACTGCCCAAAGTAATTTATAGATTCAATGCTATCCCCATCAAGCCACCATTAACCTTCTTCACAAAACTGGAAAAAACCACCTTAAGCTTCATGCAGAACCAAAAAAGGGCCCTCATAGCCAAGACAATCCTAAGCAAAAAAAAAAAAAAAAGCTGGAGTCATCATGCTACCTGACTTCAAACTATACTACAAGGCTACAGTAATCAAACCAACATGGTACTGGTACTACAACAGTCATATACACCAATGGAACAGAACAGAGGCCTCGGAAGTAATGCCACACATCTGCAACCATCTGATCTTTGACAAACCTGACAAAAACAAGGAATGGGGAAAGGATTCCCTGTTTAATAAATGGTGTTGGAAAAACTGGCTACCCATATGCAGAAAGCTGAAACTGGACCCATTCCTTACACCTTATACAAATATT